AAAAAAAAAAAAAAACAATACAACTTCATAAATTAAATTTATGATATTTATCAAACAATTATTTTGGACCAAAATAATTGTAACACCTTTGAAAATTGGTCAAATTTCATTTTTGGTCCATTATATTGGCCATTTTCCAGAAATGGTCCATTATTTAGCGGACATCAAACTTGATACAATAAGTTGTAAAATTCATCATTTTTGGTCCATTAATCACTCGGGAGACTACGTGGCGGACATCAAAATTGTCCACGTATTCGCCCGATAAAACACCACGTATGCTTATGGACCAAAAATGATGAATTTTACAACTTATTGTATCAGGTTTGATGTCTGTCAAATTAGTGGACAATTTCTAAAAAATGACCAATATAATGGACAAAAAATAAAATTTTGCCTCTGAAAATTATCCAAAATACATGGGGACAAAGTTATGAATAGTATATTGTATGAGCTTAAGCAAAGTTGAAAACGTACATTAATATTTTATAGTTATTTTTTGAAATTTTCAAGATAAAAAAAAAAAAATGTAATTTGACCCACCACCCGGATTTATTATCATCATCAATGTCCCATGTCACATTTTTGGACAGTTACAGGGCGAATAGTGGGGATCACAATTCTACATATTTTCGTGGCCATGCTCTAAAGAGGTTCTAGCACCTTCTAGGGTTTCATATGACTTTTCACCTGCATTTGTTGTATTCATCATTACACGTGTATTACAAGGTGCTTGTTAAATAATTATTCTTAAATTTTAAAATGAATGAAAAATCATATTAAATTTAGTTTATTTTTTTACAAAAAAATATACTACTATATATTTTAGAATGATATGTGTTACTTGTGACTTACATGTGTTATATTATATTAGTTTTTATAACTTATATCATATAACTACTTGAAATATAAATATATTAGATGATAAATAATTTTATTTTTCTCATTAATATTAAAAATAATTTTATTATTGTTATAAAGATAAATATAAATTATTTTTTTCTACATACAATATGGATGTTAAATCGAAACTCATCAAAAGAAGATTAATTTGATATATTATATATGTAAAACTAATAAAAAAATACAAAAATTATTAACTTTTAAAATATATATACAATTCAATAGTTATAATAAGGAAAGATATTAAAATACAATTAATACATGTAACATGATCATAAATAATCAACATATTTATGGTAATCCGAACCTAATTATTTTTGGTTTGGAATTAATAAAATTTACCCAAGCCTAATAACGAAGCATGCTATTTTGCCACATATGATTCCGAAACACCAGAAGCACTCACATAGGCTCAGGGCGTTCTGTATTAATATATAGGGGAAGGGGATTAGAAGGGAGAAATTCATTATTGTATAAATAAATGTTGTTAGACGGTTTAATTGATAATCTTGAAAATTAATGCATATTTATTTATATTATGAAATATCATGCATTTTGTTTACATTATTATAATTTAGGTAAAATTACATTTTATGCCATGTAATTAGGGGTGTGTACAAAATGTGGACAATTTTTTGGTTTGACAAAAGTGCTCTGAAACTTGTTAAAACCCGAAATTCGTCACTATGAGGCACAATTTTGAATTTTAACAAGTTACTGTCATGTTTTGCAACATAAAAAAAATGGGTCAAATTCGGTAACTTGTAGGTAAATTTGACACGAATTGTGGATTTTAACAAGCTTTGGGGTCAGGGGCGGAGGCAAGTGTATACTTGCCCGGGCTTCAGCCCGGGTTTGATTTATATAGTGAACATATATTTTTCTAGAGCTTTCAGAGTGAAAGTAAAAAGGGAAAAAAAATGATAAGCCCCCTCCAGCTTTTCACGAGTCTAATGGATTTATTTCTTTCTTTATTTAAAAAACAAAAATATTGAATAGTGAAAATCTTGTTGACAAATTAAATGATATTGTTTTGCATTTGTAAACTTTACAAATCTAATATTTATTTTTCTTCAACTCAATTAAGAAGCTAAACGGTTTTTAAAATCCAATTCTTAAATTTTGATAATGAATTGTTAAAAATAATTTGTAGTTTTATTTATTTAATTTTTATTCATATCACTTTGTTTTCATATAGGATACATTTTAGAAGTGTAGGCCTTGTCTACTTTCTTATTAATTTAAGAGTTAATAAGTTTAACTTAAATTTAAAAATTAAGTTTAAAATTGAATATTATAAAAAAATTTATAACCAAGACAAAAACTAATCTAAAATCAAGTCCAAAATAAATCTTTTATTATTTTGGTGTTTCAAGAGTTTAATTTCTTATTTTGTAAACTTAAAATACATTTTCCAAGATATATTGAATGACAACAAAACTTCCAACAAATTAAGTTATTTATTTTTCATATTAATTATTTTTCTTATTTAAAGTTTTCAAATTTAGTTGTTAACTTTTTACAATAGTAAATACACTAAAAACAATACCTTATTTGATATTTTGAGATACTTTAGTTTAACAATTTTAGCCCGGGTAGATTATTAATTCTGGCTCCGCCCCTGTTTGGGGTACTTTTGCCAAACCAAAAAGAAGCTGTCCACGTTTGCCACACACAAATAATTACAGAGCACAAAGTGCAGTTTTGCCTATAATTAAAAGTATGACATTCAATTATAGTATGACATTTAATGCCTACAGAATATCTTTTTCACACATATATAAGTTGTTGACTCCGAGCCGTATATACTTTCATCACAAATTATTGTTTGGAAACAAAGTACTCGGGTTGAGAATATACGTTTCCTCCACCTTTGGAGAGAGGAAAATTCCGTCGCAGATCTATTGGCAAGGAGAGGAGCCAAAGAGGAAGCTTTCTTCACTACTTGGGCTTTTCCCCCCTGATGATCTACTCACACAGTTGGCTAATGAAGCATCTATGTTTCCTTACACACGCTTATAGTCTACTCTATATTTCTTTTCTTGTTGTATTTTTGTTTTTTCAGTTAGCTTGCATCGGCATTGCCGTTCTATTCCAAAAAAAAAAAGTACTCGGGATGATCTCTTGCACATTTTTTAATAAAAAAGTGAATATTTGTATTATAAAATATTATAATTTTATCATGTTGTTTTTGAACAATGACGATTCAATTTGAAAGTAAAAGTACGCATATGATTATCTAGCTATTAGACTCGATGATAATTTTATAGTAGTTCATCAAGGCCAATTGATTATCCATATTTGTCATATCTACCATTCACTTTTCCTCAACTAAAAATGTGTGACATATTACTATGCAGGAGGGGGAGTCCAAATTTGAATTATGTAACCATTCATCTTCTTTTTCATGTAAATGTTAAAAGAAAAAAAAAAAAGAAGAAGTTGGCATTTTTCTAAAATATGTTGATAAGACCATCTCCAACCGAAAAACAAAACTCAAACCCATTTTACAGTAACTATCTCATTTTGTAGTAATTCATCTCCAATCGAAAAACTCATTCTCAACCCCAAAAGAATATTCCCAGAATATTCTCTTTTACACCAACTTTTATAACTTTTCAATACTACCCACATATTTTACAACTTTACAAATTACACCACACTATTATTTTAAATTCAATTTAGACTTTATGTAATTAAAATTAATTATACATAATAAAATCGAAGAAATAAATATTCATTAAAAATTAAAATTTACCACACAAATTAAACTATATATGGTCTAGCGCATATATTCACATTTTAAAAACTGTTACTTTTTTTCATTATATTAGTGCAAATTAAATGATAGATATAACATTTATTATTTTAAATATTATACTTATTAAATGAATTTTATTATCATTTTACATTATTATTATTTTAAATAAATATATAAATAATATTCATTAATGTAATTATCATATTATCTAATAAATTAGATAAAGGGACTAAAATGAAATAAAAATAAAGAAGATGAAAGAGACAAAAAAAAGGAGTGAAATGAAAAAAAAAAAGTTTAGACGCAAATTTTTGCGTCAGACGCAAAATTGCGTCCAACGAAGAGAGAGAAGAGGAAGATCGCATTTTGCGATCCGATTTGCAGCTCGGTTGGAGGAATTCTCACTGCAAATTTTGAGTTTTCCGTCTCGGTTGGAGACGGTCTTAGAACCTCATTTATTGTGAAGATGAGGTTCAGTTTTGTTTCATAATGCGAGTAAAATAAAAGAGTTGACATTTGTCTTCCTCAACAAAAGAAAAAAACAAAAGGAAGAAAATATGTTGTTAAAAATATGATTTTTATAATATAATTATTTATATTATATAGAAATATAACTAATTAGAGGAATTATTAAGATATTTATTTATTCTTTTTTTTGGGGAAAAAAAAAAATATTGCACTATGTCTAGCCTCTGCATTTCATGTCATCCTTTCTTTATTTATTTCTTTCTTTTTATTTATTTATACTTTGGATTAGCTCCATCTCTATGCGTGCATGGTATTTGACATCATTAGGCACGATCACGGTGCATTTTATATTGGACAATAAATACAACATTTTCAAACATGACAATATTTTTTTTTTTCTTCAGATGTTATGTGTAATTGTGTAATAACTAATAAGGAGGTGTGGTCATTGATTGACTTTGGAACAAATCAATAATTGAAATATTGAAGTTGTAACAAATATGGCACAATTAATTAATATATTGACTAGTGCATGGCTTTTTTTCCTATGGAGAAAAATCTTTCACGATTTATATCACATCACAACTCAAACTAAGCCAATTCAACATTGTTGTTGTTAATCAACATTCTATATTTACAAAACCACAGATCTCAAAGATTCAAAGAGACTATTGTAGTTCCCATTAAACCGATAATTGATGTCTAAGTGAAGAAAGTTCAGTTGATACCACGGTATATTGCCCCGGGGCATAGCTCATCCATGCTGTCGATATTACGGAAACCGTTGTATTCTCTTAGAGAGGTCCATCTACGTCGATTGAGGAATTCACGAAAATCATCCTCCGTGTAGAAGGTTTTATCCACCGTGTGCACGGGCATGGGATCAGTCTCTTCAAAGACGCAAACTTTAATAGTCAGGCCTGCAAATAAGAATGTCATTACTTATTTATTTGTCAATCCCCAAAAAGCCCATATTTTCAAAGTTCTCAATTTGTGAGTTTTGATTTGATAGTAAAACTCAAGTGTGTCCCCATGGATGAATTTGCAGTAATGGACTGTTTTTGAAAGAACTGAAAACCTCAGGGGTTTTTCATGTAAATGTTCCACTCTCGAATGATCACGTAGAAAGATCAATCCAAGATCTATCATCATGATTTATGTGGAATGAGAAGTTTGCTAGCAAATATTTTCAAAGTTCTCAATTGTGAGTTGATTTGATAGTAAACTCAGTGTCCCCATGGACAATTTGTTGTAATGGTGAAGTTAAATGGACTGTTTTTGAAAGAACTGGAAACCTGAGGGGTTTTTTATGTAAATGTTCCACTCTCGAATGATCACATAAAAAGACAAACTCAAGCTCCATCATCGTATTTGCGTGGAATGAGAAGTTTGTGAGCAATGCTTTCGCCTCTTTCTTTACCTTCATCAACGTGAAGAGTGTAATTTCCAAGAGGCATATCTCTGTCGAGCGAGCGGACAATATTTTCTTCATCCTCCAACCAAAAAGCGCGTTTTGTCCTAAGCCTGAATGCAGACTTGATAGCTTCCTTGATGGCATCTGCACTGGCATCAATCCCTATTCTTTTCGTATAATCACCCAATTTTACGGTTATCACCCTTCCGAACGAATTCGGTTGTTCACCTGCTAAATAGTTTTGAAAAGAAAACATTTGAAAAAGTATTTAAAAATCCAAGCATTCAAAAACAAAGGTTCAACAGAACTTTCAAAATTTTCTTACTTCTTAGCCAACAGCTGCTCAAGATTTAAGTGAATTGGGCAGCATGCATAATGTAGCATGAAGCACCTCTTTAAAAACAAAAACAAAAAAAGAAAAAAGAAAAAAAAAAAAACCATATTTAAGTTGAATTTCTCTATTTTATCCTTGAGATTCTGCGTAGCCCCCAGCTACCTTTCAAACTTTCAAATATTAGAAGTGGTGCCATTCAATTATAATAATAATAGTAATAATAATCATAGCTCAAAAAGTGCCATGAAAATAAGTTAGGGAGATACTTGTAATTTCAAAAGACCACTCAAAAACTTTTCGTGGTTGATTGCAATTTGCCTTCCAAACAATATTTTTGCACGTTTCTTATTGAACTTGCAATTTGCAAATAACTCATGATGGGTCCAAGTTAGCCCCCAGAGGATTAAAGTGCAAACATTTCCAAAGTAATGAGATTTCTGAAGAGTAGCAAGCAAAGTACAAGACTCACAATAGTTTAGCACGCAATTTCCAATTACCACGTCATTAAAGTGCAAGCTTTATATGAAGGGTAGCTTTTGTGTTTTACTTTTAACCCAAGATATTCACAAAATTAACTGATAAAGTTGACATGTTCTAAACACAAAAGCAAACTAACCACTTCCAGGAGTTTCCCTCCAATTCCATGGAGAAACCCCGCTAGCTCCAACAGTATCAGCAGCAGCCAGTGCAAGAGGGTGACCATCGTGATCCAAACGCCTTTCTAAGTTAAGGGTCGATCTGCCATTAGCTGTGTAGCAAGGGTTTTATTAAAACATAAATATCAAAAATCTGATTCAGCTGAATAAGGAAAAAGAGTACTCTGTTAGGAAAATATTCATTAATTTAAAATGTAGAAAGAAAGGGGAAGGAGGGAAAGGAAGTTAAAAATCAGAAGCATATTTACAGCAGAAGATGCTGAAACGAGTTCTGCACTAGATTATGTTAAATTTGCTTCATATTTGTAGTTATTTTTTAACATTTTACAGTTTTTGTACACACCCAAGAATGGAAGTATGGTTTGAAAAATTGTTAATATGCCATATAAATAAAACTTAAATGAAATAAAAACAAAGATTATTTGCTTCTGGTTTAGGTCCAAATTTTTGGCAAATACAGAGAGGGAAGGGAGAAAAAGAAGTTATTACTTCACTAAGAGACATGCACATGTTAGAATGCGTGGCGTAAGGAAAAATGCTAAAATCCAGTTATGACTTATGGATCAAATAGGCTTCCATAAATATTACTTTTTTGATAGTTAACATTTATTACAATAACGAACATAAATGGCTGATGCTAGTTCCATAAAATTACCAAAAGCCCTACTTGCATACCTTCGACAGGTCCAAATGGAAGACTGGCATCATCAATACCTGTAGAAGTCATATTGTATTAAGAAGGTCATGCACAGTTAGAAAACACTTAAGACCTTATACTTCAATTCATCAACATGCAAGCTTTAAGGGAAAACTAAACTTAGATAGGTAGACAATCGTAAAACAAGATACAAATAATCTAAATTCACTTACAGATTTAGAGACAGGATAGTCATTAAAGAGAACCTATACTTACGCCTAAGTTGGAAAACCATTTATGCATTATATACCATAAACATCGCGGGAAAATCACTCAACCATCACATAAGAAGCATACAATGTATGCAGAAACTCAAATCAAAATCCTCCTGCCAATGCTGACCATTTTCTGGATCCTCATCAATCATACATGGTCCAAATGCTCATATAAAATACAAATAAGCCTTATCCATTCATCCATTGGGTTCGGCAGACAGAACTAACAACCATAACAAAACATTCAACAGAATTCAACAATGGAAGTGTCATTCTGTTTTCAACATTTTCCATAATCAACTTGCAAGAAACCAATAAGAACATACAGAGTCATATGGCACTCGGTCGACTGAATACCACTCATTGAAAGAGCAACCTTGAAACAAGTAGAGTTCAAACTTCAAACCACATAAGCCAATGCCAATTCACGTCCCAAGTTGGCTAAACAAAATCCACCAAAAGAACCAGCATTGAGAGAAAAAAGTAGCCAAAAAAGAAAAAAACTACCTCTACTGAAACTACAGCACAAATTATCAACCACTACTTAACAAACAATTCAAACAACATGCACCAAAAAAATTACTTTTGTGCCTCCACAATTCAACTTCGCTGGCCATAAACCATAGCAGACACATTTAACCAAAACAAAGAGGCTACAAAGTAAAAACCTTTATCAGCAAACTGCATAAATGAATCCACTTTAGAACCACCACCCCCGACACAAATCTCGGAATTTTTCCAACTGGGGCCATTTTTATTTCTCTCACTCATAATCTCATCAATGTCCTTGTAATAGCACATCTTAGCACAACCACTCCCATCTGGGTTACTCTGTTTAGCTTTCTTGAACTCCTTGAGCAAATTCCTCCACTTATCCGTACACATCGTTGGGGATCTATCAAACCCTTTTCCCCTCATCTTCATAGATATGCTGTCCCACAAGTGCTTGTTCGATTTCGATGTGTTGAACAGCAAATCAATCTCCTTGCGGAGAGAGATGAGGGCCCGCGTCTCCTCCTGGGCCCAGGTCTCGGCCCGTTTCTTGGGGCCCGAGGAAGATGCCGGGTTGGCAGAGGTTTGATTGTTTGAGATGGGGGCAGCGGCAGGGTCGTCGCCGGCGGTGGGGGTGGCGGCGCCGTCGGGGAGGTGGTGGATGTGGGGTTGAGGGCTGAGTTGGATGATCATGCCGTTGTTGCTCCGGTGGGGAGATTCTTGCTTTCCGCCAGCTGCAGCGGCGTAGTAATCGACGGCTGATTCTTGCGGCGATTGAGGTTTTTCAGACATGTACATTTTTTTAAGGTCTCGAACTCAATGGTGAGGATATTTATGGGGTTTGGGGTTTTCAATGGCCTGTGCACAAAATATAAAGAGAATCAAAATATAGTTGAAATTTTATGAAAAGTTACTTATTTTGATTAGGGAAATAATCCTTTCAATTTATACTTTTTTTTTTCTTTTGGGCTTTTGTACTCTTAATTATTACTATTATTATTATTATTATATTTAAATAGGCTCATTTTCTACAGTTTTTCGATTCATTTCCGGCCAGATATTACAATACATAAAAGTTAAAACTGGTGCATAACGTAATCTATTAAAAATAAATAAAAAAAATTACAATAAGCAAAGAACAAACATAATACAGGTCGGAACATATTATTTCCTCTTTTGGGAAATTTGTGCTCCTTGATTAAGCCTGATTTAGGGGAAATTATCTCTGTAATTACAGAACTCGTCCATATTATTCTAGTGTACTTGAGAGATGTGACATGACAAAATAAATAGATTATTTGATATCCACATTTAACTTTGGACCGTTGATCTTATATGCCGCCGCATGAAAATTTAAAAGTAAGGAAAATATTAGAACAGACTAAAAAATCAATAAATAGAAGAACATATTGTCGAGTGTTTTTGGAGGGGGAAATCACCAGTGAAGGTACCACCTCGACAATTATCAAACTCATTATTATGTTGATAAGAAAAACAGAGATCATTCATGTGGCAGTAGAAAGTTTTAAACAGACATAACAATGAATATAAAGTCACCTATACAGTCATTATCAAACACACACATACACACACCATATATTATATATATATATATATGAAATGCAAACTTTGCAGCCAAAGAGACTCTCCAAATGATTCAGTATTATTCGCCCCAAACATCTGATCAATCGCAAGTTTGCAGCAAAAGAGACTCGCAAATGATTCAATTATCATTCGCCCCAAACATCTCATCAAGGGCCTTCCACACTCTGATATACTTCCATTCTCCAGTCGTACCCAAATAATAAGACAACAGCACTACAGAGAGATCACCAGCACAGCACACGCCTCCAGATGAAACCGAAAGCCCATACTCATCTCTTACGAACAAAAATATCATCGAGCTTCCCAAGATACTCTGCTTCGGAAAGAGAAAACTGCAGGCAACAGAATTCCGACAATGTAGCCTTCGAGAGACAAATCTTTAAATTGTTCTTCATTTTTTCCTTTTTTTTTGTCTTTTCTTTTTCTTTTTTTTTTTCT